ATAAAATGAATGGTATTCATTATACTTCTCAATCCTATTCTATCAATAAAAACAGTATTTTTAAAAAAATATCCAATACAATTTACACAGTTTACACAATTTACTTGAGCAGAGAGCCCAGCAGGGTGAGGAGGGAACTGAGTGAGGTGGAAGAGTGAAAATTCTGTTAAGGAATTTGGTGAGAGTGGGAAAGAGTTTCATAATTATGAAATACATAATAGTTATTTTAAAATAAAACATGTCTGGGAATATGGCAGCGCAGCTGAGACCAGTCACATGCACAATGTGTGCCATGTTGGAACTCCAGGATGCTTTGTGTGCCCTGTACAAACACGTGTGTAGGAAGTGCCTCCGGCTGCTTGAGCTTAAGCTCGAGGTTTCTAAGCTCGAGGAGAGGCTTGTCATTACATAGCATACGGAAGGCTGAAGAGTTCATGGATTGAACGTTTCAGGAGCTGGTCACCCCACAGCCACAGAGGGCTCAGAATGAGAGTGAGTGGGTGACCACCCGGCATGGTAGGACGAGGGGACGGGCAGTGCAGAAATCCCCTGAGTGTGTGGCACTCATAAATCGGTTCCCTGTACTGAATAGCGGTGAGGGTGATGACATCTCTGGGGAGAGGAGTCAAAAGCCAATGGATGCACAGGGGGATGCAGGGAAGCGTGTCAATGCAATTGTCATTGGGGACACAACGGTGAAAGGAGTAGACAGGCTTTTCTGCAACCAAAGACGTGACTCTCACATGGTATGTTGCCTTCTTGGTGGCAGGTTTCAAGACATCACAGATCGGGTGCAAAACGTTTCTACTGGGGGAAGGGGAACATCCAGAAATCGTGGTCTATGTTGGGATCCATGACATAGGGAAAAAAAGGGCTGAAATCCTACAGGAAGAGCATCAGAAGCTAGGGAAAAAGCTAAAGATTAGGACCTCAAAGGTGGTGATCTCTGGATTACTCCCAGTGCCTCATGCAAGTGAGAATCAAAACAGCAGGATCAAACACATGAATACATGCTGGAGAAATGATGCAGAAAGAAGGGCTTCAGGCTCCTGGATCATTGGGACCAGTTCTGGGGCAGATGGGACCTGTATAAAGTGGATGGATTACACCTGAAAGGCTGGACAGGGAGTCCTCACAGGGAGTCTTCACAGGGAGGTTAACTAGTGCTGTGGGGAAGAGTTTAAGCTAATTTTGAGGGGGGAAGGGAATCAAGATGTAGCATTAGAGAGGAAAAACAAGTTACACAGAGGGCTGAGAGAGACAAAGAGCAATGTAATCAGGATTAACCCAGAAAAAGGAGGGATTTGATGGGGGAGAAAAATGCAGAGCAGACTAAGTCGGTCTTGAGTGCATGTGCCTAAATGCATGGAGTGTGACAAATAAGATGGGTGAGCTGCGGCTCAAGTTGCCACATGGGGTTATGATGTAGTGGCAATAACAAGAGACCTGGTTCAAACAAGGGCAGGAATGGGAGCTGAATATTCCTGGCTACAATGTATTCAGGAGGGATAGGGAAAGAAAAAAAGGAGGATTGGTGGCAATATTGATTAAAGATATGGTTACGGCCCTGGATGGACAATGTGCTAGAGGGTCCAAAAACAGAATCTATTTGGTTAGAGTTAAGGAGCAGAAAAGGAGCTGTTACTCTGTTAGGTGTATACTATAGACCACCAAATAGTGGGAAGGAGATAGATGAGCAAATCTGCAAGCAGATTTCAGAAAGATGCAAAACCAACAGAGTAGTGATAATGGGGGACTTCAATTATTCGAACATAGACTGGCAAAATAGCAGTGTAAAGGGCAAGGAGGGGGAAGGATTTCTGAAATGTGTGCGGAAGGAAGCAGTGCTGGATCTAGTTCTGGGGAATAAAGTGGGGCAAGTGGAGCAGGTTTTAGAAGGAGAGCATCTGGACAATAGTGATCACAACATCATTAGGTTTAGAGTACTTATGGAAAGGAACTAGGAGCAATCAAAGGTGAAGATACTCAACTGGAAGAGGGCTAATTTCAGTGAGTTAAAAATGGAGCCAGCCAAGGTGGACTGGAAAGAAAGATTGGCAGGTAAAATAGCTAACGAGCAATGGGAAGCCTTCAAGGAGGAGATAGTTCGGGGATGGAACAAATACATTCCCACAAAGAGGAAAAATAGGGATTCCAATATTTCTTAGATGATTAAGAAAATTGGGATTTAAAAAAAACAGAAAAATGAGGCTTATGATAAACGTTAAGTCCAAAATACAGAAGATAATGAAATAGAATATGGAAAGTACAGAGGAGAACTGAAAAAGGAAATAAGAAGGACAAAGAGATTGTATGAAAAAAGATTAGTGGGTAACATAAAAGGGAAGGTTAAGGTATTTTATAAGCATATAAAGAATAAAAGGTTAGTGAAAGGGAGAGTGGGTCCAATTAGGGACCAAAGAGGAAATCATCTTGTGGAGGCAGAGGGCATAGCTGACATACTGAATGAGTACTTTGTATCTGTCTTCATGAAAGAAGATGTAGTCAATGCCACAGTATGGGAGCAGAAGGTAGAGAAATGAGATAAGATAAGTATAAACCGAGAGGAGGTACTCACAAGGCGCTCAAGGTAGATAAGTCACCCGGTCCAGACGGAATGCATCCTATGGTACTGAGGGAAGTAAGGGTGGAAATAACATAGGCTCTGGCCACAATCTTCCAATCAATCTTGGACACTGGAGTGGTGCCAGAGGACTGGAGGGTTGCAAATGTTTTCCCGTGTGCAAAAAGGGGCAGAAGGATAAACTTGGGAACTATAGGACAGTCAGCCTAACGTCAGTAGAGGGGAAACTTCTAGAGACTATAATCGGGACAACATTTTCACTTAGAAAAATGTCGTTTAATAATGGACAGCCAACACGGATTTGTGAAAGACAAATCGTGTCCAACAAACCTGTGAGTTTTTTGATGAAGTAACGGAGAGGGTGGATGAAGGTTATGCAGTTGATGGGAGTTGATACGGATTTTCAAAAGGCGTTTGATAAAGAGCCACATAAGAAACTTGTAAGCAAAATAGTAGCCTACGGTATGAAAGGGACAGTGGCAGCATGGATACAGAACTGGCTGCGAGACAGATAGCAGAGAGTGGTGGTGAATTGTTGTTTTTCTGAGTAGAGGGAAGTCTGCAGTGTCGCCCCTCCCCAGGGGTCGGTATTGGGACCACTGCTGATTTTGATCTATATAAATGACCTGGACTTGGGTATAGGGAGTACAATTTCCAAATTTGCAGATGTATCATGTATAAGCATGTGTATCATGTATACGATGTATAAGCTTGGAAAAGCAGTAAACAGTAAGGAGGATAGTATCAGACTGCAAAGGGACATAGACAGACTGGTAAAATGGGCCGACAGGTGGCAGATGAAGTTTAATGTGGAGAAATGTCAACTGATGCATTTTGGGAGGAAGAATGAGGAGAGCAATATAAGCCGATGGTACAATCTTAAAGGGGGTGAAGGAACAGAGAGACCTGGGGGTCATATACCTAAATCTTTGAAGGTGGCAGGACAGGTAGATAAAGCTGTTAAAAAAGCACACGGGATACTAGGCTTTATAAATAGGGGCAGAGAATACAAAAGTCAGGAAGTTATGATGAACCTTTATAAAACACTGGTTAGACCTCAGCCAGAGACTGTGTTCAGTTCTGGGCTTCAGGAAGGATGTCAAGGAATTGGAGAGGGTGCAAAGGAGATTGACCAGGATGGTACCAGGAATGAGGGACTTCAGTTATCAGGAGAGGCGAGAGAAGTGAGGATTATTCTCTTTGGAGCAGAGAAGCTTAAGAGGAAACTTAATAGAAGTTTTCAAAATTATAAGGGGATTCGATAGGGTGAAAAAGAAGAAACTATTTCCACTGGCGGGTCGGTCGGTAACCTGAGGACACAGATTTAAAATAGTTGTTAAAAGAAACAGAGGGGAGGTCAGGAGAACTTTTTTCACCCAGCAAGTTGTTCGGATCTGGAATGCATTACCCGAAAGGGTGATGGAAGCCGATTTGATAACAACTTTTAAGACAGAACAAGTTTTCTTCCTCCCAAAATATATCATATCACATTTCTCCACATTGAACTTCAGTATCTGGAATGCATTGCCTGAAAGGGTGAAAGTCGATTCGATAACTTTTAAGAGACAAGTCAATAATTATTTGGTGTACGGACAAGTTTGCAGGGCTATGGGGAGCGAGTGGGGGAGTGGGATTGATTTGGATAGCTCTTTTCAAAGAACCAGCACAGACAAGATAGGCCAAATGGCCTTCTTCTCTGCTGTATAATTCTATGATTACACATGACTGCAGAGGTAGGAGGAGAAGCTGTGAAGAGCATGGAGTGATCTCCATTGTAAAAAAGCAGAAAGAGATCGAGGAGGACAGGCAGCCTTGGGGAGTGATGATCAATTAAATAGTGTAATGATTCTCAATCCATTAACACTGGTGTATTAAGTAAATTCTTTAGTCTTAGTTCGCAACTATCTAATACTCCAACTATAACCACAGCCCTAGTTCCCTTCCCAGGATCCTTTTTATACTTCCTGGTTCTATTTCATTGGTTCTTCTCCAATAGTCGTGTTAATGGGAAGTCTAAGAAATAGTGGAGAGTTTGAACGAGGGGGGAATATGAGCCAGGAAAACAGATGACCTCCCTTTCTCTCCTTCCAAATAGTGCCATGGAATATTTAATATCCAGCTGAGCCACAGAATGGGTAGATGGGACACAATTTCACATCTCAAGAGGATAATACAATACATTGCTTCCCGACTGCTGCCTTAGTGGGTCTTTTACACTAGGCCAGGACCTAGAATAGAAGCTTACGTCCTGATGTGGGACCTGTTTAAACAAAAGTTGCCTTCTTCATCTTTGACGGATATCATAGACTGACTGAGTTCAAGCCTGATGAACTGGAACAAACACTCACTAGGTCCGCATAGTTTCCCTGCTAATGGCTCCAGCATGATAAGAGGCAGCATTGCCTTTAGGACTCACCTGTAAAATTCGTTGCAAGATGGATGGAAGCGCTATGAATCCTGTCATGCTGTTCAGAACTTGCTTTGTCAAGTGCTTCAAAGCTGCAGAAATAAGGCCATGTACAATTCAGTATGGACCAATATATACTGTCACTGTGATGGAAGCAGAACAGTTCAGACACTGAGTGATATGGTGGCTCTTTTCATATCAACAAATCTAAATTTCCGCTTACTGTAATTTCACCGAGTGAGAGAATTTTGTGTGAGAGTGAGACATAAAGCAGGGAATTGTTGGACAGTTACCAGGACATCTCGAGCACCTGATTAAACAGCTAAGTTCTAGCTATAATTGTTAGAATAAGTGAGTAGCTGTGTTAATCACCTCTCCCAAAATACGAACAAATGTCCCTGAAACTTAACACAGCTACTCACTTACTAACAATTATAGCTCGAACTTAGTTCTTTAGAACCCTCAATCTGTTTTCTGAATCATATCTGTATATTATCAGAGATTGATCTAGCTCCTTTAAAGCATTAACTGACCCAGAATTAACTACTTTATTAAGAAGCCTGTTTCACATAATGGAGAATTGTTTTAACCACTTACTCAGTGATTTTGCTATTACTGAGCAGAATTATAAGAGAATTGTGAGCATTTTATTCTGATGTACTGCACTAAGCACTTTCACTGCTTACATTCGAAGGCTGGGCTGGATGATCCATCTTTCAATAGTTTTTGCGTTGACATAACAGCCTCGAGCAAGGGAAACCATAGGGCCTGTAAGGAGGAAAGATAAATTAGTCACTGAACATTTTTTATTCTGTTGTCCTATAAAAATAATTCATAGAATCATAGAATTATATAGCACAGAAGGAGGCCATTCGGTCCATCGAGTCTGTGCCTGCTGTTTGAAAAGAGCTATTCAATTCAATCCCACTCCCCCATTCTCTCCTCATAGACCTGCAAATTTGTCCTCACCAAATAATTATCTACTTCTCTCTTAAAAGTTGTTATCGAATCGGCTTCCACCATCTTTTCAGGTAATGAATTCTAGATCTGAACAACTCGCTGTGTGAAAAAATTTCTCCTCACCCCCTCCTCTGTTTCTTTTAACAACTATGTTAAAACGATGTCCTCGAGTTATCGACCCACCCACCAGTGAAAATAGTTTCTCCTTGTTCATCCTATCGAATCCCCTTATAATTTTGAAAAATTCTATTAAGTCTCCTCTGAACATTCTCTGCTCCAAGGAGAATAATCCTAGCCTCTCCTGATAACTGAAGTTCCTCATTCCTGGTAGCATCCTGGTAAATCTCCTTTGCACCCTCTCCAATGCCTTGACATCCTTCCTAAAGTGTGGGGCCCAGAACTGAACACAGTCTCTGGCTGAGGACTAACCAGTGTTTTATAAAGGTTCATCATAACTTCTTGACTTTTATATTCTCTGCCCCTATTTATAAAGCCTAGTATTCCGTATGCTTTTTTAACAGCTTTATCTACCTGTCCTGCCACCTTCAAATATTTAGGTATATGACCCCCAGGTCTCTCTGTTCCTTCACCCCCTTTAAGATTGTACCATCGGCTTATATTGCTCTCCTCATTCTTCCTCCCAAAATGCATCACTTTGCACTTCTCCACATTAAACTTCATCTGCCACCTGTCGGCCCATTTTACCAGTCTGGCTATGTCCCTTTGCAGTCTGATACTATCCTCCTCACTGTTTACTGCTTTTCCAAGCTTATACATCGTATACATGATACACATGCTTATACATGATACATCTGCAAATTTGGAAATTGTACTCCCTATACCCAAGTCCAGGTCATTTATATAGATCAAAAACAGCAGTGGTCCCAATACTGACCCCTGGGGGTCACCACTGCAGACTTCCTCCAGTCAGAAAAACAACCATTCACCACCACTCTCTGCTTTCTGTCTCCCAGCCAGTTCAGTATCCAGGCTGCCACTGACCCTTTAATACCGTGGGCTTCTATTTTGCGTACAAGTCTCTTATGTCACTTTATCAAATGCCTTTTGAAAATCCATATAAACTACATCAACTGCACTACCTTCAACCACCCTCTCTCTGTTACTTCATCAAAAAACACTACCAGGTTTGTAAGACATGATTTACCTTTAACAAACCCATGTTGGCTGTTCTTTATTAATCCATATTTTTCTAAGTGAAAATTTTGTCCCGGATTATAGTCTCTAGAAGTTTACCCACTACTGACGTTAGGCTGACTGGCCTGTATTTCCTGGGTTTATCCTTCTGCGCCTTTTGGTACAGGGGAGTAACACATGCAACCCTCCAGTCCTCTGGCACCACCCCCGTGTCCAAGGTGGATTGAAAGATTGTGGCCAGAACCTCCGCTGTTTCCACTCTTACTTCCCTCAGTAACCTACGATCCATCCCATCCGGACCGTGTGACTTACCTACCTTGAGCTCCATCAACCTTTTTAGTACCACCTCTCGGTTTATTCTTATCTTATCCAATTTCTCTACCCTCTCCTCCGATACTGTGACATTGGCTACATCCTCTTCTATTGTGAAGACAGATGCAAAGTACTCATTTAGTATGTCAGCCATGCCCTTCTGCTGATGTACTGTTAAATTCAGTTCAATGAAAAACTGAAACCTAGTTAAAATGATTAAACCAGGCAAGTACAATTGGAAAAGTACAATTGAAAAAGTTAAGTTCCTTTTGTTTTTGTACATAAAAAAAACTTCATGGTGAGGTTTTCAAAGCCATGAATGAAATAAAGAAGATAATGGGATGTTATGGCATTTCTTATCCAAATATGGGAATGTTCTGCTTGAATATCACTTCTATGGACAGACTGCAGCCGTGCTGAATATAGTTTTACCATCATTCTTCCTCATTTTATTGAGTTTAGATCCATCCTCAGTGGATCCTCCTCACACAATCAAGCCCAGACTTGCAGTGAGACTAGCAGTGTGCTAATATGGAAATGTATGAGAGGGGGTCTGCAGCCCAGGCTGCATAAAAGCTGTATCCAGCCCCAGGCAACCCCTCTTCCCCTCACCCTACTCAGGGAGCAATTGAACACGGCCTATGTCGTTGTGATACATGGCTAAGCCAGCTCTGCTATGGATTCAGTGACACATACACCATTAGCGACATCAAGCACTCACAGGTTATGCACATCAACATGAAGAAAACCAAGGGCGAAGCTCCTTTGCTGTTACCTCAGCTTAAACTCAGAAGAGACCTCCTCTACACTGAATCATTGTGAATTTTTCTATTCCTAATTCTAGTCATAGAACCATAGGAATGTACGGCACAGAATACCATTTGGCTCATTATGTCTTGTGCAGGCAATGCTCTCAGTTCCTCTTGACTCCCCTTTCCCCATAACCCAGTAGCTGACTCTCGCCGAGGTATCTCTCTAATTCCCTCCTGAAGGCCAAAATGGATTCTGCCTCACTCCCGGCACCACTGAATACATTTCTCTGAGTGGGAAGATAGACCTTTCTTCATCTGCATGCTTCTAGCTTCTGGGATTGAGGAAGGACTCGGAGTGGAGGGAAGTGGAGTTTCAGAGTCACAATGCACAAGCTCATATCATTTGGTCAGAAAACAGAGACAGGCATTTCCATTATCTTGTCCACACTCTTTGACAGAAATTCCACTTGGGTCTACATTTCATCCAGTTTACATGTTTACTACATTTCATCCAGTAATTCAGGGTGTGCACAATTTGGCAAATTCTTAAATGCTGTACAGCCTGCATTTGGAAGCCAGTTTATTGTAGATTTGTTGTAAAAACCAAAAAAAAGCTTAAAAGTTCAATTTGTAAAAATCTGAAATGCTACACAAATGTAGCAAATCTAGCTCTAGGTGAAATTTCTCCCCATCTATTGGATAACCCAGAGGGTGACAGTAGCACTTCATGAAGAAACACAATATGTATGCTATTTTCAAGTTACTGTGAATTTTTGTTTCTGGTATGCATGTTTAAACAGCACATTAAAATATTTCTTATTCATTGAAATGTCTTTTTCCATCTAGTACCGTTGAAATTAGGAGCAGTTATTTATTTTCAAAGTGGTTTTGTGCAAACTAAAGAGTTAAAACCATTTATCTTTGCTTTAAGGTCACAACGAGCCTTTCACAGACATGATTATCAGTTAAGAGAAAGCATGGAATAAAATCATTTATGCCACTGGATATAAATGATCTCCCATATCGAGGTAATGATACACTGGCCCAAGCAGATGCAAAGGACACCATGATTCACCTTCAGGACAAAATCCACAGAAATCTTTTTAGAATTGCCAAACCTGTTTTTTACCTGAAAGGCTAGAATAACAATCAGTGGGCGGACTGGTGGTGTCACAGTCAGTCACCTTACTACTTGTTTATACAGCACTTACTCTGCGATTGCCAACTCCCAATTTCTACATTTCATTAATCACAACAGCATAGCACAAAGTAGAAATTGCCTGCTGAAAATTAGAGAGCAAAGCTCTCTCATCGTAAAGAGGAAAATAAGGACCAGAGGAATATACAGGACTGGAAAAGATTACTGCAGTCCATCTGGCCTGTTGCAAACTGAAAAAAGCCCTGCTCTACTCTATTGATAATACCTCTCCAATCAAATTATTTGCCAAACAACTCTCTAATTCAACCTTGAATCTGTGGTACGATCTGCCTCTCCAGGCAGACTATTCCACACATTCATCATTCTCTGTGTGAAGTCATTTTTCATAGAATTATACAGAACGGAAGGAGGCCATTCGGCCCATTGTGTGTGAAAAGACCTATCCAAATCAATCCCAGTCCCCCACTCTCTCCCCACAGTCCTGCAAACTTTTTTTCTAAATGTCTGTTCACCTTTCCTCTTCTGAGCTTGACCTCACGTCACCTTGTTGTAGATTTGTTTTTAACATGTTGATATTGTTAAAATTCAATTTATTGATATTCTTTGGGTAGCTATTTAATCGTCCTTTGCTGTAATCTCTTCAATGCCAAGATGGAGGAGATATGTGACAAACTAGGATTTTTTTTGATATATAAAACAAATCCTGTTTTAAAAACAAAATAATTCTCTCTCGAGTGAGAGAAGGCTTTCCAAAACTGATCCACTTTCAGCTGAGAACTCAACTGGCAATGGTGGGTAGATAGAAATGAGGAATGAGAAATAGGTCAAAGTCAGAAGAGTGCAGGGTATGGGCAGGAAACTGGGTTGGAGGAGACTCCGGAGGTAGAGAGGAGCAAGATTTTATAGTGATCCGAATGTCAGGTCATGGGAGACTAAGACACTGGGAAACAGTGCAGCTAGGCAAGGATAGTTCTTACCCTTCAATCTAAAACATTTTACTTCTTCCTGTAATTTATAATAATAATCCTTACATTTGATACAGGGCCTTTCACATTTGGAGTATGTTTCCAAGCGTTTCCCAAGAAGTACTGTAAAATGTGGCAACTGTAATTGTAGTGAATTTATTGTTCAGATGAATGTTGCCAAATGCCTGGTGTCAATACAAGCTGGCTGAGAAATTTACCATCACAGTCATTCACTGCACCCCACCCTGCCAGAAATTCACCATTTTTACAGCTGTAGGTAGCTCTCAGTAAGCAAAGTGAATGTCTCTGCAATTGAGTTCAAACATTAAGTATGTGGAAGGTGCAATGAACCAAAGCAGTGCAATTGAGTTGTTCAAGGTTAAACCTTTCCAGTCATCGCTAAAGGTGGCAGTTGGAAAGACCGAAACATTGCGAGAGGAACAAAGAACTTCCTCAAAAGGCAATCGATCAAATGAATCAGTGAATTCATACAAAGTGAGTGTGAGTGAGGTGGAAAGAGACAGCTGGCTTAGCTTAGTTTACTTCAACTGGAATCAGAATGAATCTGAAGAGTCACTTCAGAGATTTAAAGGGACGTTTTCTGGAGCTCTTGAAAAAAATACTAAAACAAGCAGCAAGCTCCTGTTTATTTCAATAGTTATTACACAATCATCAGGTGCCATTCACATTCAGTAACTTACAGCTGAACTGACTCCCTGCCTTCAGAGGCTGAGTTCTGCTTTTCTGAGTGACAGTCGGTCACAGCTTGCTGCTAATCCTATTACTGATTTAGTAAGGATATCTGAGGATCAATAAGGTTCTCTCCCATCTCCCTGAATGTACCAAACGGACTGACCACTGTTCTGATGATGAAAGCTACTATGTCCATTGCACATATTCTCTGGATTTGGTTTCAGCCATTCATTCCAGCTGATTTCATTTTAAATAATGCCTATTTATCTACTGTATATGTTTGAGGGCTGGTTTAGCCCTGAGCCTTACAGACTGAGGTCTGTGTTGTTAGCAGCTGCTCATCAGATAGGGCTACAATTTACCCTCATAGCCCTGTGCTAAAGGGAAACAAAAATAGCCAGACTCCCACTACTTAACACATCAATTTTTTTTCAATCTATCACTGAAAAGTGGAGAGTATTGATGAGGGTAGAATCAGTCTAATTCATGATGTCCCTCCAGTCAAATCCTCCACCGACACAGAGCTCTCACCTGAATAACCAGCAGGAGTTAGCAGGTGGCACCAAGCACACTTGCAACACCTTAATTAAAAAAAATAAAAACACATTGCTAGCAAGAAAGCTTGTTGATAAATAAAACATTTTCTGTTTAAATATCAAATCAGTCAATGAGCCCGAGGGAGCTGGGGTAATGTGTCACAGATTCAGTCAGTGACACAAGGAGGGACTGGGAGGGAGCTGGAGTAACATCAGTAGAGTTATAACAACAAATTACATTTGTATAGTTGGGAGGACATCCAACGTGCTGAACAGTCAGGGATTTGGACCCATGCTGGTTGGGATCAGAAGGTGTGGAGGGCAGGGAAGGTAGGGGTAATAGGGTGACCGAAGGGGAGGTCAAACTAGGAGGGTCTTGAGACGAACCTTGAAGGAGACAAGGCAGGGAGTTAGGTGAAGGGAATGTGAGTTCCAAAGAGTGGGGGAAAGAGGCTGAACGCCCAACCGCTGATGATGGGTGGGCTGGCCGGGGGATATGGAGCAGGCTGCTAAGTGGAGGGAGAGCGGACAGGTTGATATGGACTACAGAGATATAGTCAGTGACACATAGCGCTTGGCGAGAGGAGAGACTGAGCCTGGAGGAACATCCGTAGAGATATAGCCAGTGACGCAGGGTTCTGACTGGGAGGAGTTGCTGAGTCCGACATTATGAGGGAGCTGGATTAACATCAAAAGACACAATCAGTAACAGCAATACATAGGAGTCAACCTCCCCATCACTGCCAGGAACAAACAATTTTTTCATCAGCAAAATTATTTTTTACAAACTCAAATAGATAGAACCAAGAATGTTAATTTAAAAGTAGATTGGATTCAGTTTTTAATGAGTCTCGTTCATTTGAAAATTGGTAGCAGCAGATGTGGAGCAAATCTGTTAACCATCAGAAATTTATAACATGCTCGCCAACAGGCTCAGCTTGTTTATTCTTTGGGTAATACGGAGCACTAAGGTCCCAGGAAACCCTAAGATTAAAGTTGGTGTCACTATTGAACAGGCTGAGCTCTCATTGTTTGTGTATATAACACGAGGATCCATAACATTTCAACTTCCCCTCTACTTTAATTGTGCAGGGATTCAGCAACTTTCAGCATGGCTTGGAGACCCAAAGTGATCAGGAGCAGTCCTCTCCGTCCTAGTAGTGACACGGCCCAGACCGTCCCTTTGACCTGACTCAAAGTCTGGGGGAGAGGGAGAAACAGTTCAGGCTCATTTCAAATAGAACAGAACAGGAAAGTGCATGAAATAACACATCCAAAATGAGTGGAAAAGGCTCATTTTGTGATGCTCCTGTGCCCGACGGATTTCTGTTCACAGACTGAGATTGTAAACTGCCCACTAGGGTTAGATAGCAAAGGATGAATGGTGCTGTGGAACTATATTCTCGTTAATTCAGCAAGTTGGGGTCCAGCAGCTCAGTGAGAGAGCACTCGCCTTGTAAGTGAGAGACCTGGGTTCTATTCCCGGCAGGGCAAAATGTTGGGCAAGTTTCCTTACTCCACGCGCCTCTGTTTACCTAGCAGTAAGTAGGAACCCGATTGTTAGTCGGTTGGCGGATCGCTTTTCTGGGGATAATAATCCCTCAAGAAAAAAAACAATAATAATTTGGTCACTCAATCCAGGACTGTTTGTGGGACATTGCTGTGTGAAATTAGCTGCTGCGTTTCGCCCACAAATATACACTTTACAGTATATTTTGTGAAGTGCTTTGAGATGTCCAGAAGACATTAAGAGTACTATATCAAACGCAAAGATTATTATTATAAGTTCAGGATGGAAACTATGGCAAAATATAACTTAATATCCAAGATTATTTCTGGATAAAGGGTGCAGCGGTAAACTGCTATCTGTGAAGGAAACTCACCCTTTTTCCACTGGCAACGGAGCCCGCATATACATACAGCGCTCTCAGCACTAACCTCTCGCTGCTGCTGATTCAGGCTGTGTGAATTTCGTTGACACAAACCAATGGTTTCCTCCAACGTGCTTTCTGTAGCTTGTACCAGCTCTTCACTGTGCTCTCCTGGTGACAGCAACAAACTGATCAACTTTCAATCGTTAAGACCTTGCAAAAGCTAACAGTGGTTATGTACACCATATGAATGAGCTGTTACATTGGTTCCACATGACATACGCACACAATTCACCTCAGTGCATTGGGACGTCTTCCTGACGTGAAAGGCGCTATACAAATGTAATTTTGCATTGTATGTTGAACCACACTGTTGTAAACCATGCCAACCTTGCACAGTTGGTGAGGACAAGATTGGGCTTAGGTGAAATTCCCCTGATGTTGACAAGCTCACACACGAAGAAGTCACTTGGACCAGGTACCAAGGGCTCCATTGCCTGTGGATTCAGTCAGCAAAAGAACAGCCACAACAATAACCTGGTACTTAAACAGCTCTTCAGAATACAACAATGTCAATTGGCCAATCGCGACCACTCCAAATCATATGTGGAGTCCTGTAGCTCAGTGATTAGAGCGCTCGCCTTGCAAGCGAGACACCTGGGTTCAATTCCAGGCAGGACGAAACCTTGGGCAAGTTTCCTTACTCCACACGCCTAATAATAATCCCTTCAAAACAAAACAATAATAAATTGGTCATTTTCAATCCACGACTGTATGTGAGACACTGCTGTGTGCAATTGGCTGCTGCGTTTCGTCCACAAATATACGTTCAATTCACTTTATAGCATATTCTGTGAAGCGCTTTGAGACGTCTAGAAGATGTGAAAAGCGCTATATCAAATACAAGGATTATTATTATTATTATGTTTCTTACCTTCATTCTCTGTAAGTAAAGACAGCTTACGCTTCAAAATCTGAAAAACACAAGAGAAAAACTTTAATTGAATTAAGACTTTTTGGGATTGCCCAAGCTTTAATATTTATGTATTTGTTTCTTATTGTGCCACTGTCTGACCTGAGCCCTGTGCATGAGCAGCCTGGTGTTTCCAGACCTCACCGGGAGCTTTGTTGGTGGCTATCAGGAGGCAAAAGGTTCCGCTCTGAGACGCTACCGTACGTGGAAGGCACTATATAAGTGCAAGTTGTTGTTGTTTCCTGCTCTGTGGCACTGAGTGTTAATAATAATAATCTTAAGTGATACATCGCCTTTCACGTCAAGAGGCCGTCTCAAAGCACTTCACAGGATTTACTGTAACATGGAGCGATTGTATGTTTGGTGGGCAAATGCTCATACCGGTCGGTAAACTCTCACAAGTCATATCAGTAAGAGCCATCACATTTAATACGATTTATGTGAAGTACACGTTACAGGCAAACTTGCATAAATCGTATCGGCCGACTTAATACAACTTACTCAAAGTTAAGTTTGTCTTTTGTGATATGATGACGAGTCAAGACCTTATTTACCACGCTTATTTCAAACACAGCACTAAATACCTGCGGTACTTCATCAGTGCAGTCAGAAAGTGTGGCGATATGAGTTAATAGATGATTTGCATTAGTACAACAACAACTCGCATTTATATAGGGCCTTTCATGTGGAGTAGCATCCCTAGCGTCCCTAATTACCCTAGTATTTAGGTACCAAGAAACCGTTATGACTTAGCCATTTAGCCGACCTGTAAAATACAACTAGTGCAAAGAAATCTAAGTGTTTTTGTTAGGAAATTGAATGGAACTCGGGTGCATGTATGACTTAGGCAATAATATTTTTACGAGACGATACATGAATTTACCTGTATTCGGCAGCACCACACTGCGGGAATTAGGATTATCTTGGCTTCTTTTTAAGAAAGAACTTTTCATTGAGCAATTTATTTATAGCCCTTTAAGAAACTGGTGGGGAGAACGTCCACCCAGATCTAGATTTATTCAATTTATGGCACGTTTTTAAGAGTGTCCAGAACTGGACAAATCCTTAATTTTGAAGCCAGGTTTCTGATTTTTTTTTAGATGCAATTGGAGTTATGAAAATGCAGGTGGTGCAGTTTGGGCAACTTAAATACACATTCTCCTAATGACAGTAAAGAGCCACTTTCACCAGCTCTGTTCCATCTTTGGAAGCCTGGCAAATTCAAATATCCAGAATTGCATCTAATCCTTCTTCATACATAAATATTTAATACATATATTGATGTGTTTGCACATGGTTAACCCAAACTCCCCTGTTACACATGGGGTTTTAACCATACCTGCAAACTGGGAGGGGATGGATAGTAAAAATGAAAACGTTTACCCTGCTTTATTGCTGAACACCATAGAGACGTAGAAATGTGATGTGTGGAGGCCATTCAGACCATTTTTTATCAGGTTTCCTCCTCCAAGAAGCCATTTTTTGGAGGATAATGAACCAAAATCCTAATTCCATTCCCTGATCTTTCCCATTTCCCTCTAATGCTCTCTCTCTGCATGTGCTTGCTCTTTTTTGAATACCCCTACATCACCCCCCACCAGATCATTGCACATCCTGACAAGTCTCTGGGAGAAGTTCCTCCAACTCTATCCTGTTACTACCAGTCACAATCCTGAAATTACACCCTCTTGTCCTCAAATTCCTGATTAATGGGAAGAATTTTTTACGATTAATTCTCTCAAACCTTTTTATTACTTTAAAGACCTCGGTCATATCACCCTCAACCTTCTGTTTTAACAGTCCTACCTATCTAGCCTCTCTCACAGCTAGATCCTTTCCTCTCTGACAGTCTTGATAATGTGCCCACAAAACTGCACAGACCAGTCCAACTAAGGCCTAACCAATGTCTAAAACAGATTCATCATTTCTTCCTTACTTTTGTGGCTCAGTATGTGAATCCTAGTTTTCCTATTAATGTCTTCTCTCCTGGTAATCTCACTATATAAGAAACTGGGTACTTGTACCCCCAGACCCCTCACTTCTCTTGCTCCACTGAGAACATCCCTTTCCTCCTTGATCTACCCAGATCCCAATTCAGATGTAACAAAGTCAGATTTGTATAGCACCTTTACAACGTATGAGGCACTCCAAATCTGTGACACGGTACACACCATTTGTGGTTTAGTGGTTAGAGCACTCGCATCGTAAGCAAGAGGACCTGGGTTTGATTCCCAGGCGAGGCGAAACCTAGGCAAGTTTCCTTACTACACACACCTCTGTTTACCTAGCAGTAAGTAGGAACCCAGTTGTTAGTTGATTGGTGGATCACTTTCCCGAGTGAAAAAATCCTTTAAAATAATAATAATATGGTCACTCAATCCACGACTGTTTGTGAAACACTGCTGTGCGCAATTGGCTGCTACATTTTGCCCACAAAATATACACAGTTCACTTTGCAGTAGTAAGCGCTTTGAGAAGTATCAAAGACGTGATAAGGCGCTATATAATAATAATAATAATAATAATAATAATAATAATAATAATCCTTGCATTTGATATAGCGCTTTTCACGTCGGGAGGACGTCCCAAAGCGCTTCACAGAATATACTGTAAAGTGAATTGACTGTATATTTGTGGGCGAACGCGGCAGCCAATTGCGCACAGCAATGTCCCACAAACAGTCGTAGATTGAAAATGACCAATTTATTATTGTTTTGGGTTTTTGGAGGGATTATTATTAGGCTCTGTGTGGAGTAAGGAAACTTGCCCAAGGTTTCGCCCTGCCTGGAATTGAACCCAGGTGTCTTGCTTGCAAAGCAAGTGCTCTAACCACTGAGCTACAGGACTCCACAAATGCAATATCAAATGCAAGGATTATTATTATTATAATCCTATCACACAGGGTAGAATTCCGCTCCCTGTTCTTTATGTCAAGATGCACCACTTCTCATTATTCTATAGTGAACAAAATTGACACAAATCTGCCCACTCATTGACCTATCAATAACTGGGTGGAGCTTCCTGCTCTTAATTTAGAGCATTTTTGATGCCATACACATGAGCCGAAGCCACACTGCACAATCTCACAAACAAATCTCTGACAGGTATCTTTTCCTAACCAAATGGAGTCCTGTAGCTTAGGGGATAGAACACTCGCCTCGCAAGCGAGTGGACCTGAGTTCAATTCCCGGTAGGTCGAAAGTTTTCCAAGCAGTAAGTAGGAACCCGGTTGTTAGTCAATTGGCGGATTGCTTTTCCAGGGGTCATAATTCCTACAAAATAAATAAAAATTATTTGGTCACCCAATCCACGACTGTTTGTGGAACTGGCACAACTGGCTGCCATGTTTCACCCACAAAGTATACAGTCAATTCACTTTACAGTATATTCTGTAAAGCACTTTGAGACATCTCGAAGACGTGATAAGGAGCTATATCAAATGCAAGGATTCTTCTTCTTATTAAATACTGTCCTATACTTTTTACCAGAAAATCCTTTGGAGCACCTTCTTTTGCTCTATTTAAGCTGTTACAGTGCAGCCCAACAATGCTGGGGAACCGGGGCATGGTAACTGGTTTTACTGTGCTTGTACACAGCCATTATTAATAAAATGTGCTCAGTATATTTTATATCTATGTACAAGTCAAAATACTTCAACATGATAAAGTGCTAAATAAAAAGCAAGATTATTACTCTCATTATTAACGAGGGTTAATAAGCATTTGTCAAGATCAGAGTCAATAGAGACATGTTCTGCAAAGCCAGCAATTACTTATATACAATAGTGCTAACAAGTCCACTGGCTGCATTTATATAGATAAGTCACCCAAGAGCTGGTCTCAGGCGACAGATCCTTGTGGGCGCCCATTGCACATCATTGAGCACTGGAGTTGGGTAATGTGGACACAAAAACATTCAAAGCCCTGCTGCAATATTAATAAAATCAAAATATGATTTGAGTTTATTTTAATTAACAAGCCACCTCCTTACAGAACTATGAAAAGGCAAAAACAGGTATGATACCCTCATCATAAAATAAATCATTAACAACAAACATACAAACGTACAAACAACCAATAATAAATTGGTCATTTTCAATCTACGACTGTTTGTGGGACATTGCTGTGCGCAATTGGCTGCCGCGTTCGCCCACAAATATACAGTCAATTCACTTTACAGTGTGTTCTGTGAAGCGCTTTGGGACGTCCTCCCGACATGAAAAGCGCGATATCAAATGCAAGGATTATTATTATTATTGTTATATTTTGATTCTGGAAGGGAGAATAGTGTAAACAAAGATTAAATATTTCGAATTATCGTCCTTGCCTTGTGCACTAACCGCTTTGAATATTAGCTCCACATTTTGAGGAGGGGAGGCGGCAGTCGGTTCTGTGTGCTGTTTGGTTCAGTGCAATTTGACAATGCGCACTCATGAGTGGAAACCCCATTAAGCATGTGCTAAACATACTACCATTCAATAAATTAGGAACTACAAGCAGAGACTTGATGAGCCGAGTGGCATGTTTCTTTCTGTAACATTTTACAATGTACATATCAACATTTAAGGCTCATACCTCCAGCAAGACTTGAAAAGCTCCATGCACATCTCCCTTCTTTTCCAGCAGGTAGGCTGTGGCTTCATGAAGCTGATGTCTCTTTGTAATCTAAGTAGTAATAAATAGTGTTACTTCAGTAACAATCAGGTTAGATACTAAGACTTCTACATTGTTGTGTTACTCTATTGAGGTGTGCGTGCTTATAAAGTATTCTTATAAAATTACTACTTCAGAGGAATGAATCTTTATTTTCACTTCTGCCTTTCCCAGATCAAGTATAGCTTTCATAGAATCATAGAATTAAACAGCACAAAGGAGGCCATTCGGCCCATCGTGTCCTCCAGCTCTTTGAAAGAGCTGTCCAAATTAGTCTCACACCCCCTCAAATATCTATCCACTTTGTCTTGAAAGTTGTTATCGAATGGGCTACCATCACCCTTTCAGGCAATGAGATCCAGTTTCGAACAACTCGCTGTGTGAAAACATTTTTCCTCACCGCCTCTCTGGTTCTTTTGGCAACTATCTTAAATCGGTGTCCTCGGGTTACTGACCCACCCGCCAGTGGAAACAGATTCTTCCTGTTCATCCTATCGAATTCCCTCATCATTTTGAAAACTTCTATTAAGTCTCCTCTTAACCTTCTCTGCTCCAAGGAGAATAATCCTCGCTTCTCTCGCCTCTCCTAATAACTGAAGTCCCTCATTCCTGGTAGCATCCTGGTAAATCTCCTTTGCACCCTCTCCAATGCCTTGACATCCTTCCTAACGTGTGGTGCCCAGAACTGAACACAGTCTCTGGCTGAGGCCTAACCAGTGTTTTGTAAAGGTTCATCATAACTTCCTGAATTTTATATTCTATGCCCCTATTTATAAAGCCTAATATCCCATATGCTTTATGAGATCAAATCAAATGTGCACATTCAAAAAACGATTGGACCCACAGCTGAGAAAGAAAAAAGTTGAGGGATATAGAGAAAGGCCCGGAACATGGGATTATGGTTAGGATCTAGGATAGGCACTCGTGTGGAGCGGAAGTACCAGCTAGTCAGGTTGGTGAAAAGCCAGTTTGGTGTGGCCTGAGCTGTACTTTCCATGAATCTATGAAACAATTCACAACAATTCTCTGTGAATCGTTTTGAGACATTCCCAGATTAAATGGGATTATTAATATTATTAGACTCAACCTTGTAATTGTTCCAGTGAAAACTCGTACAAATATGTAGCTATGCATCAAAAATTTCAAAAAGAATCTGGCACGGAAAGAGGCCACTTGGTTTACTTGCTGACGGCCACTTGGTTTACTTGCTGACCTGACTGGCTGGTACTTCCGCTCCACACGAGTGCCTATCCTTTTGAAATTTTTGATGCACTGTTTTCCAGCTATTCCCATATTCCTTCCAATTTTACTGCCGAGGTGTTTATCCAGTTCTCTTTTGAATTCATTTACTGATTCAGCTATTTATGGTAATACATTCCATATCCTTAACAGGGCTCTGAGTTAAGAAATTCCTTCAAGGCTCTCCCTTGATTCTCTGCTAACAACTTCAAGACTATACCTCTGCTCAGAGTCCCATCTAAAGCAAACTGTTTATCTACATTTACCTTGCTGTGTCCTTTCTGTTTTTTTTGATCAGCCGGGTGTCTGACACATGCGGAAAACCATCATCATGCTTTAGAGTATCCAAAACAAACTGAGAATTCCACGCATCCCACCTACACATGGAAATCCCAGAGATAGATTGTTGGAATAGAATACGCACTCTCTCCCTGGAGGGACACATCCTGCTTACCTAATTTTGAAATGTATTAGGCGCAGGTTGGCAGGAGCCAAGGCTTGGGGACCCAAGAGCTTGGGGTATTGCTGGAGTCTAACCAGCTAAAACTACATAGCTTGCCATTGATATCGCTGTTTGGCAAGCTTTCCCGCGGCTTCTCCAGCTCGGACTACCTACTAATTAGGGGTTTGGCTTGCAGGGTTAACAGGTGCTGAAGGGGAGGATTCCCTGCCCCCCCCCCGGTGCCTGGTCTGTGCTTCCAAGTCCTCCTTATGAGCCAGGCTTGCTATGCTGTCATCAGCAGTGCCCTAGAGTACGGCGGATCTGTCTGGCTCAGGAAACTTGGAGCCAGTTCAGCTCCAAGGAGACCCCGCTTTCCATCCCTTCCAGGAGGATATGGCTTTTCAGAATCTTAAATATCTCTATCACGTCGCTTCTCAATTTTCCCAGTTCTAATGTTGAGATCTGGACTTTCTAGCAATCCGGTTAAAAACACCCTAAAGTTATTCAGTAATGGGACCTTTGAAACTATCTACTGATCTGGGCAGGCTTTCCTCTGAATCTGAGCTGTTGGTGCTCTTTTGAGGTTGGCTTCAAGGCACATTTGTAAAGGGAATTAGATGAGATTTATTTTTTATCTCATAAAGAAAGGACGTTCCCCGATCTCTGTATTAGGTACCACTTTGCTTAAAATGGAAGCTTTAAAAAGCTTGAGAATTATGTGTCTATAAATGGTTTCCACATGCAGAATAATCTGCTGTCACAGTTGGCACCCACAACAACAACAACTTGCACTCCAGAGTAGCATCTCAGAGCACTTAACAGTGGCGGCGCATGACTCCGAGCCGGGGAGAGGGGGGAGGTGGCAGTAAGCCCGGTTGAAGAGGAAAGTTTTTAAGTGGGACTTGAAAAAGGGGAGGGGGCAAGGCAGAGGGATTGAGAGAGAGTGTTCAAGAGTTTTTGGGCGCAGTGGCTGAAAGCGAGACCTCTGATGGTGGAGCGGAGGGTGCAAGGGACACGCAGGACACCGGTACCAGGCAAGCGGAGACACCGGATGGTGGATTGGGGAGTGAGGAGGTCAGAGAGCAGTGCCAGAGAGTGAACAGATTTGAACACGATTGCAAGGATTTTGAAGTCGATCCGTTCAGTGATGGGGAGCCAGTGGAGCCTGGCCAAAACTGGTGAGATGTGGGTATGGAGCTTGGTCCGGGTCAGTATGTGGGCGGCAGAGTTTTTGAATGAGCTGGATCTTTTCAATGGTGGAGCTGGGGCGAGGAGTGAGTTGGAGTAATCCAAGCGGGAGGTGACAGAAACGCATACATGAGGGTTTTGGCTGCATTTGGAGTAAGGTACAGTCGGCGATGGGCAATGTGGCGGAGGTGGAAGAAGGTGGTCCTGGTCAGGGACTGGATATGGGGGAGGAAGGACAGCTGGGGGTCGAACTGGAGGCCTCGGTTGCGCACTGGTTTGGCGAGTCTGAGGGAGAGCCTAAGGAGGTTGAGGAGTTCAGATCCGCAGGAGTGAAGATGTTGACGGGAGCAAAGGAGTATGACTTGTTCATATTCAGCTGCAAGGCCCTGATGTCTTGCCAGACAAGCTGATAGAACATTGGCGGACCGGAGTTGGTACTGGAGGAGGCAAAGTAGATTTTTTGTGTCATCCACATACATGTAGAAGTTTACCCCGTGTCTGCGGATGACATTGCCCAGAGAGAGCTTAGAGATGAGGAAAAGAAGAGGGCCAAGTATGGAGCCCTGGTGTACCCCGCAGGTAAACGGGCAGCGGATGGAGGAGAAGCCTTTTGCTGAGACTAAATGGAGGCAGTTGGTTAAGTAGGACTCAAACCATCCGCATGTGGTCCCACTAAGGATACAGGAGGAGCTGATGGAGGAGGATGACGTGGTTGACTGTGTCGAACGCAGCAGAGAGATCCAGGAGGACGAGGAAGCAGAGGGAGCCCTGATCACAGATAGAGAGAAATTGTGACTTTGACAAGCTCTCTCTCTCTGTGCTGTGGGCAGGGCGAAAACCAGACTGCAGGGCTTGAGGAGAGAGTGGAGGGAGAGGTGTAAGTGAAGTTGACCTGTAACAATGCGTAAGGAAGGGCAGGTTGGAAATGGGATGGTGGTGTGAGAGATTAGAGGGATCGAGGATGGGTTTTTTGAGGAGGGGTGATGAAAGCAGTTTTCAGGGGGAGTGGAACAGAGCCTGAGGAGAGAGACTGGTTGACCGTGTTAGCCAGCAGGGGCTAGAGAAGGAGGATTTGAGTGACCAGGAGTTGGGCGAGGAGGGGGTTGAGGCAGCAGGTGGTGAACTTCATGTGAATGATTGTGGTTGAGAGGGAGGGAGAAATGGGGTCCAAAGAGTGTAAGGAAGGGGGAGCAGCAGGAGTCGTGGTGGAGGGAGAAGGTGGTGTGGATGGTCTGGGTGGGATTGAAGGGACATGGGGGTTAGGACGATGCAGCCATGCGAACGTTTTCAATTTTTGAAACGCAGAAGTCTAGGACCTCTTTGCACTTTGGCGTTTGATGGGAGGATAGAGTTAGGGTTTGGGGGTGCACAGAGAAGGTGATGGACGGTGGAAAACAGCGTCTTCGGGTTGTTTTGAGCTTCCAGGGTGACTTTGGAGTAAAGGTCAGTTTTGGCTTGTGAATGGGAAAGGCGTTAGGTGTGGAAGTGCTCGAGCCAAAGTGAATTGTGAGGCCAGATTTCTGCCATCTGGGCTCAAGCATCTGGGTTTGTGTTTTGAATGAGCGGAGATGACTGTTGTACCGGGGGAGCAGGTGGGTTTGGAAAAAACCCTGGATTTCAGGAGAGCCAGGGATTGAAGGTTGTGGTGTGGAGAGATGTTCATTCAGCAATGTGTTGGCTGTATCAGGATCGCTGTAGGTGGAGGGCCAGAGGGAGAGGAGGTTCGAGGAAGAGAGGGCATCTGTGAGGGACTCAAGGGGAAGCTTTTTCCAGGGGCGGAAAAAAATGGTGGAGGGCTTGGAAGAGGGCAGGGGCACGTGGAAGGAGAGGGAAATGAGGAAGTGGTCCGAGATTGTCTTTTTTGTGATAAACAGGTCGGAAATGTCAAGGTCATGTGTGATGACGAGGTTGACGGGTTGGCTGCGGTTGTGGCTGCGAGTTGATGTGGAGGATGAGGGGTGAAAAGTGTAGCCAGGAGGGGAGGTTTCAACGAGGAGAACAGGGTCACTGGGGGAGAGCCCGGTTTCTGTAAACCCAAGAATATCAATGTGCTCATCCAGGATGAGGTCATCGATAGTAAAGGTTTTGTTGGAGATGGAGCGGATATTTTGGAGGGAAATGCGGATAGGTTTGCTAGTGGGGGGGCGGTGATGGGGAGAGTGGTATAGAGAGGTTTTGGGGTCGTGGGAGTGAAGTGACCATGGAGTTTGAGGAACAAGGAGAGTTGGAGAGGCCACAACAACATTAGTTGTGCAGTTCCGTGATTGAATCACTGAAATTTATCCCACAATTGTTTTTCCTGGCAAATTGGGTCCTAGTCACCCCAGAGAAATTCGCTGAATTTCACACTTCTTAAGTAGTTATATTACTGGTGTCTATTGGTCAGCATGGGATAATATATATTGACTGTTAATAACGACGGCCACAAATTACAGCAGCATGTATCTAAACAATCCTATATGCATTTGATTACAATGTGTGAGAGAAACAAAGGAACAGCAAACCACAGCTACAATGTGGGTCTCTCTTTATTAACTGACTCAAAATGGGATCCAGGTGTGCCAAATCAAACTGACACTCCTGAGATCCAGAACCAATTAAGAGACTACTTCTGTCAAAGCGACAACCTTTTTCAACAGCTGAGCATCCACATTATTCACGACAATTGCCTATTTGAAGGCTATCCGATTCTTGAGAATTGCTGTTAGAACTCACTCCCAAGAACTTGAAGGAATCGCACACAAGAGAACCAATATCAAATCTTTTGTCTTAACATCTCACCAATACATTCATTCCTAACCAGTTATGTTTTCTTCCTGTTCTCAGTAATGTGTTCAAAAAGCATGAACTACAGTTCATTTTTCTGTAGTGAAAATGAATATAGCGATCTTATCCAAACCAAACTGAGAAACCATATATCGCACCTAAACACAGAAATTTCAGAGATATTCGTTGGAATGGACTGCGCACTCTCTCCCTGAAGGGACACATCCTGCCGATGAGCCAGTTTACCTGCACTATCATCAGCGGTGAAGTACTGTGGACACACCTGGCTCAGTAACTGGACTACCAACACCGCCACAGAGGGAAGGCTCGATTTCAACATTCCATTGCTAAACATGTCACTTTGAGCCAGTTCTGCTCCAAGGAGATCCCGCTCACCTCCTTCCAAGGAGAAGCAAGTACACCCTCTATTACACTTCCCAGACCAATTTCTCCCACCATTGCTCCCATTCCCTTACTTAATCTCCACAGCCCCCATTGTTAAGTGATTTGAGATGTCCTTTTATGAGAAATACCTAATTTTGTACCATAATTTTGTACTATATTTATCACAGATGATAAACAGCAGACTTCTCTGATCATGTCTCTCTTTATGTTCCTTTCTGTTGACATCACTGCGCAGCAAGACCTAGAGATGGAATAATACAGCCCACCAGTAAGTTAATTCAATCAGGAGAAATATTACAAACTAATGTCAATGGCATGCGCTACTTCCCACTCCATCTACCAGATATCATAGCTGGAAATACAGGGTGACCAAAAAGTCTTATTTTTCAGTTGCCCTATTATTTAAAAAAGAAAAATTCTTTAAAACTTATTGTCACGGAGCTTGGTATTTTACATCCAATACTTCAATGATTAGAGTCGTCGCTTCTCGAGTCAGGAGGACAAAACCAGTATTCCATTTATATTAACAAATTTAAAATATGCACTTCTCGAAATAATTTAAAAATATTTAATGTACACAAGCATATATTTTGACGACCTTAAATTAAGTCAGAGTCGTAATACATAAAATGCCTATAATTACGGTTTGAGCGGAGAAGTGAGCTGACCCACTTGTTTGTTGTTACAAGTCCCCTCCAAGGTGCAACTCTGCTGCCTGAGTATTCATACATAATACACATTCTTACAGACGATACATTTCCATGTAAATCAGGCCTCTTTCAGACAACATCCTTTAACAGTTCCTACTACCTGTAGGGTTTAACTGACCAAACCAATACCATGCAAACACAAAGGAAACATTCTAACAGTCTCCATTCAAACGAGTATTCAATCGAGTTTGCAGGTTCCCTGGTCATGACGTCACCACCACCACATTATTAGACATTGTAATGGTAACTGCACTTTATGGTCACCCTGTAAAAAGAAATGTAGAAAACCCCTCAGAGATTCCAGTATAAAATGCTAAGCTGCACTCTCAACAGGAATATAGGTGGGAGTCTCAGGTCTTTTAATCGTCAGAACTAACTTGGCCCAGTTTGGTGGGTTTTATTAGGTTCCTGTCAGTCATGTTGGTGGCTGGAATACTGAACAGATGTGAAGCTTTGGCTAGGCTTAGGGAGAGATGGGGGCAGAGCGTGTGGGGAAGAAAGGACAGTGTTGAAGAATTAACTCTGATGCTGAAAAAATCTTCTGCAGAGTCCATCCCATCAGGTGGTAGAAATGAAAGAAAATGGACCAAGACTCCAAAAATACACTTGTTTGTATTCAAAGAATTCCGTTCAAGATATGAACCATTTCTTGCAATGCTATAGTCAATACCGCCTTAGTCATCCTTTCTTCACTGAATATTAATGAAGAGAAACTTGCACAAAGCAAGTTTTCTCTCCTCTAAATTGGAGGGATAGTTTCCTTTTCCTTTCCTTTCTCCCCCACACATCCTGCCTGCATGTCTCCCCAAGCCTGGCCAAAGCTTCACATCTGCTCAGTTTTCCATCATTAACCGCTGAATGTTAATGACAAGCCGTTTCTTAGACTTGATTTCTGATTCCAAGCATGAAAACAACCTACCGATGGAAAAGTCTGATTTGTGTTGAACAGTATACATGGCTAATTTGAGTGCCTACAATTTAGTGAGGCCAAATTAAGAAGATGTATCAACCTGGTTAGCAAGGCTCGATTGTGAAACACAGTTTCTTGAGCTTCAAGATGGGTTTTGGTTGTGTAAGCTACTCTCCCAGCTGATTCATTTGGTTGACACCTTCTCGAAGGTAGAGTTTCAAGAGCTCCAGTCACCCGTGGCAGTACCAGCAGAGCACTAAGGCGTCACAGGCACAGCTGATCCTATCCTTACTTTCTATCTCATGCAAGAGCTTTGCTTAGTTGGTCACACATTGGCCTCTGGATCAGAGAGTTCGATGTTGAAGCCCCACGAGGCAGCCCTACAAAGTCATGTAACTTTCTTTTTTTTTTCTGCAGCACATTGGCCAACAACTGAAACATCGTCTTCCAATTCAGGAGAGTTTAATATCCACACTCAGGAGCCTCAAGCTGATGTACAGGGTGTCCACAAAGTCCTGTTACCTTTTCCTCTCTCTATAATGCACTGACCAACAACTGAAACATGTGGAAGAATGATGATAATTGTGTTTAGAATTACTTAATTGTATTCAGTACCAGTATTTAACTCTATTTAGAAGTCCAGAGGATTGGTGTGAACGGCATCATCTTCATTGTAGATGAGGATCCGTCGCCATGTTTGGTGCGACATCTTCCGTAACATGATAAGAGTGATGGGACAAAATGTATCTCTGACAAATTGTTTCAGCTCTCCATAGTCTGATATCACTGTTTTGTAACAGGGGGTAAGAAGACTTTGTGGACACCCTATACATCGTTGTTCCTCAGGTGAAAAGTTAAATCAAGGTTCCATCTGCCTCTTTAGGTCAATGTTAAGGATCCCGTAGTACTACTGCACATTTGAATGAGAAACGACTTTCTCCTGGTGACCTGGCCAACAATCTTCCAGAAAAATTGCTCATTCGCTTCACAGCCATTTGGGGGACCTTGCCCCTTTCAAAATGGTTCCACGTTTGCCTGCAAATACTAATACTCAACAACAATTCCCTGTGAAGACATTTTAATGTTCTAGGCACTGTAAAAAATGCAACGATTATTATTAAAAACTTGGATCACATGATCTCTCACTCTTTTCTATTGAGAACAAGTTTACCGCTGTGTGCTTTGCATCATAACACCAAATCCCAGAAGCTACACCTGTGGTATTCATCATTTCACTGAAACACAGAGGTGAGCACTAAGCCAGTAACCATCAAAAGCATAAACAACAGAGCCTGAATTACTCTTATATATACAATACCCTTCATCATATGCTGGAAACGTTACCTGAGTGGCTTCTTCTAGCCGGTAATGCTCTGATAACCTCAGGAAATCTGGGATGCGATCTGGTTGGAACTGGCACAAGAGGTCAATGTACTTCTCATGGATTTGGGGATTCCTTTGCAGCTCGCGATTCACCTGCCCTCCATCCCTGCAAATGAAACCGGAGTAAAACCGGGAGAAGACACATAGCAAACCGCTTTGAGGAAGGAGACCCTCACCAATATAGAGTAAAATTCACATAAGTCATATCAGTCGGGACCATAACATTTATTATGACTTGCATGTATAAAATCCGATTTAATGAATAATCTACACTGTGCATGCAAAATTCAATGCAACCGGTAAGTACGGATGCAGTGACGGGTCAAGACTACATTTCCTGTAATTCAATGCGTCTTGACCTATTGCTGCATGTGCACTTACTTTGGAAGCTTTAGAATCACTATGAATTGCGGGAAATTAAATTCTTCTGCGCATGCTCCAAAGGATGAAGATTAAGTTTCCCTCAATTCAATACAGTCAGCTGGTAATGAGCATGCATCTATGTGTCATTTCCCGCAATTCAGAGCAGCTAGCAAGTGGGAGTAATGCAGGGTAGGGCAGCAATATTACGAGTTAGGAGGTGATTAATATGAGTAATTTATAACAAAGAAATCTAAGTAGTTTTGATAGGAAACTGAATGTGACTAGGGTGAATGTACAAATTTGATAATTATACAATTCATAAAGATAAGACTAATGCAAGTTTTACTTTATAACTAGGGCAGGATGGCGCATACTGACATTATCTGCACGTCAGTTAATCTGTGTCAAGCTCAGATGTACAAGTGGGATACCAGCAAGAAAAATGTTTATGTTCATGAGTACGCATTTTCCAGGTCTGTGATTTACCCACACAGAGCGACTGAGAACTGGTAAAATGAGGCAAGTGTTTATTAAACAATTTAAAGTAGGCTTTGAAGATGAGGAAGGAGGGGGCAAGGCAGAAGGATTCTAGGATTGGGTTCCAGTGCACAGGAGCAGCATGGCTAAAAGCTCACTTTCCAATGGTGTGGTGGATCAGATTGGTACATTGAAACATCCAGTGCCTGACCAGAGGGAGAAGCTGGGGAAGTAATAATGTAGAAGGTTGCAGAGATAGAATGGGAAGAGGCATTGGAGGAACTTCAGCGATGACAAGGATTTTGGATGGTAACCAGTGGAGCTGAGAGAGGACGGGGTGATAGGCTCGCAAGCCTGGTGTGGGAGAGGACACAGGCTGCAACAATTATGGATACTGATAAAAAGAAAATCATTCTTTCACCATTCACTGGTCTATTAAAGGGGAGTTTTTCTCCTCTGGTGTCCTGGCCAACAGTCCCCAAAATAAAATTAGTTACTCATTTCATGGTTGCATTTCCCATCTGCATAACATTGCCCTAAGGTTTTTTAATGCTTGGTGAATGCTTCTTGCAATAAACTCTTTAACAGGTGTTAACGTGTGCCGGCACAGTTATTTGAATGGCACTAGTCTTGTAGCTTACAAACCCCACACAAACGTTCCATTATGGCTTACGCATAACTGATAGAGAATGTAATGAAAGATAAGCTCCAGGGGACCAGAAAAAAAACTGCCCATTTGATCTCACACTAGCATCTTCCCATTACAGTCTAAAGCTGTTTCTTAAACAAGTCCAGCGCCCTGGCCTCAATCACCCTTCCTGGTCACTCAATTAATGACCCTGGTAATTAATTTCTCAGTAAATAAATAGTTCCTGTAGTTAAAACTGAGCAGTATGGATAAATGAACAAAAATAGATCTGGAATCATGGGTAGGACATTCTGAGATCAGTACCAAATTGTGTAAGAAATAGTGCAGAACATTTCATATTAATTCAGACCATCTGGGAAAATTGAATCAGGTAACCATGGTGATAAAATAGAGAGATCAGAAAGGGCATTGCAGACACGGTAACCAGATAATAGTTACCTGTCATTGTATTTGTTCTTTGAACCATTTGATTAACATTACTTATAAGCTGTAGAGAAGTAGCAATCCAAACCCACACACCTCTGATCTATGTCAACAATTAAAGTAAATTTTACATTCACTGCAGAACCTCTTGTTTTTTTTCTTAATACGAGTTGGTTTATTATCTTAATATATATTAGGCCTCAGAAAACAACCATAGTCCTTGTAGACAGAAACTTCCTGATATTTTGGAGGGCTTTAACTCCCCTCTTATTTCCTTTGCTGACTCCCTCAACTAACTTCTCATAAAGAAAAGGATACAATGGGTCTAAAACTTGACATCAATAAGCAACTTGTTCTATTAACTGGGGTGGCCAGCACCTGTTCTTTGTTTCTGAACAGTGTAATACATTTCACTCAGATTTATGAAACTATTAATTTTATATTATAATTACTACAATATTCTTCAGTGTCCTAGTAGCAGAACAGCAATGCCTGGTATTGAGAACGGTATATATAGGCAAATAAAGCACAAATCAGCAGTAAGGATTCTGGATTTTATATTTTCCTCAGAACCACAATTTCTGTTCTCCCCCTTGTGCCACAAACTAATCTCCAAATGAGAGGGTCATACTCCAACCATACTCCTACCATTACAGCTCAATATAGCTACTGCTAGATAAGACATTACGGAAGGATATCCCAAGTTGACCCATTTCTGATTTATCAATCTGACCTTGTGGGAAAGAAACAAGTCTCCAGTTATACGGATAGTAAAGGTCATTAGTAGCTGGTAACATTCTTTCTTCTAAGTCATAAAGTTATGGGTTCAAGCCCCAAGCTGAGATTTGCAACTCATCATCTGGGCTGACAGTCCAGTGAAGTCATGGGAGAGCACTGCATTGTCGGAGATGCCGTCCTTTAGATGAGATATTAAACCAAGGTCTGTCTGTTAAGCTGGACGTTAAAGATCGCATGGCACTGTTTGAAAAAGAAAGACAGTTTCTCCCAGAGTCCTGGCCAACAATCTTCCAGATAAATGGTCTCATTCACTTTGTGGCTATTTGCGGGACATGCCTTATGCACAAATTGGCTGCCATGTTCACCATCAAATATAGTAAATCCAGTAAATCCTGTAATGTGAAAAAGGCGCTATACCAAATACAAGGAATATTATCAATATAATACTGGTGAGATACTGCCAGAAAATAGATGATCATTTTTGACTGGAAGTACTGTTAGTATACATCGGTTTTATACCATTATACTGTGCATATATATATACTCACGTAGGATTTAGTAGATTCTGCAGTAATAAAAAGAGTAAATGTTGATCCTGAAAAACAAAAACAAATTTAAAAACAGCATCACACTGTGCCTCCTAATATGCAGAATTTTTCTGTTTCTAAGTATTCTAAGTTTCTAGCAATTATAATAATGCTTATAGTTGACTTGCCGATCACTCAAAATGTGGCAAGATAATAATAATAATCCTTGTATTTCTTATAGCTCCTTATAACATCTTCTAGATGTCTGAAAGCGCTTCACAGAATATACTGTAAAGTGAATTAACTGTATATTTTGTGGGCGAAACGCAGCAGCCAATCGCACACAGCAGTGTCCCACAAACAGCCATGAATTAAATGACCAAATAATTTATTTTTTTGAAGGCTTTATTACTCCCGGAAAAGCGATCCGCCAATCGACTAACAACCTACTTACTGCAAGGTAACAAAGGCATGTGGACTAAGGAAATTTGCCCAACGTTTCGTCATGCTGGGAATCAAACCCAGGGCTATGGGGAGAGAGCGGGGGTATGGGATTGAATTGGATAGCCCTTTTCAAAGAGCCGGCACAGACACGATGGGCCGAATGGCCTCCTTCTGTGCTGTATAATTCTATGAATACAAAATACAAATCCTAACTCTCCCTCCATTAATACCTGCAGAAGGTCCTAATCTACTGCAGAATCCGTCCCGTTTCTCTCTTACTGTAAGAGCACCAAACACAAAGTAAGGAGCAAAGCATTCACATGCCTCAAAACTTCAAGGGCAAAAGGACTCTACAATTATAATAATATTAATAATCATTCTTCCATTTAATATAGCGCCTTATCAAATCTTTGAGACGTCTCAAATCGCTTCACAGAATGTACTGTAAAGTGAGTTGACTATATTTCGTGGGCGAAATGTGGCAGCAAATTGCCTACAGCAGTGTCCCATAAAAAGTCTTGGATTGAAGTGAACGATTTATTAATATTACTTTTTTGAAGGAATTATTACCCCCGGAAAAGAGATCCACCAATTAACTAACTACCAGGTTCCTACTTACTACTAGGTAAACAGAGGTGGAGTAAGAAAACTTGCCCAACATTTTGCTCTGCCGGGACAAGTGCTCTAACCATTGAGCTACAGGTATGCAGTTATGGAGGGTCCAGCATGAACCAGGAAATGATCCGACACATAATCGCAAGATTATATCTCTTTACTCTGAGAGCCAGTGTGGACTCGATGGGCTGAATAGCCTCCTTCTGCCAACCTGTCCAACCTGGAGCATTGTACAGCCTTTTTATGTGGGGGCACTGAGCTGCAGATAAAGATTGCATCATCTCATGAATTTTCCTGCTCAGCACTTAACTTCAACGGGGAAAATAAAGGCTCAGACTTTGTTCTCTGAGGTTAGTTTACAAAATCCTTACTTTTATAAAGAAGTTCTGGGAACTGTTTATGTCGACGTAAGAAGTGCAGAGAACATACTGGGATGCCACGAGCAAAGTGGATTCCCTTGGAGGATATCCACCCACTCGCCAGCAGATCAGCATGAATCAGACAGATTGCCAATGGCGATTTTCCTAGTCTCACTGTCGCTCAGCAATTAAATGGCTACAGGGCCACATTAAATAGCAAAATTCAGTTTGCAAAATTATTGTTAAATTTTTTTAGCCATGAATGATTATTTAGATGGCACGCATTACGTACCCACAATGGGGTAAGCCAACATAGTAATTTCGGCTCAGCATTCTGAAACATTCAAACAAAATTCTGATCTGAAACTTTAAAAACAAATGCTTAAATGGCATTCTGAGTTCCAATTTCCACGCAATATGGCCCAATAAAGTGCTCCGAGACCCTGACTTTCAGATGAGACATTAAATTGAGGTCCTGTCTGCCTGTTCAGGTGGCTGATAAAAGATTCTGTAGCATTATTCAAAAAGAGAAGGGAGTTTCTCCCAAAGTCCTGGCCAAGAATCCCCCAGATAAAATTGAAACATTTTTTGTGGCTATTTGTGGGACATTGCTGTAGTCAAATTGGCTGTTGCATTCACCTACGAAACACAGTCAATATACTTTACAATAAATCATGTGAAGCACTTTGAGATATCCTCCTGAGTGAAAAACGCTGCATCAAATTTGAAGGATTTTTTAGGGGCACACATCTTCACGATAAAGCATTTAATAATAATAATAATAATAATAATCCTTGCATTTGATATAGCGCTTTTCATGTCAGGAGGACATCCCAAAGCGCTTCACAGAACACACTGTAAAGTGAATTGACTGTATATTTGAGGGCGAACGCGGCAGCCAATTGCGCACAGCAATGTCCCACAAACAGTCGTAGATTGAAAATGACCAATTTATTATTGTTTTTGGTTTTGGAGGGATTATTATTAGGCTCTGTGTGGAGTAAGGAAACTTGCCCAAGGTTTCGCCCTCTGCCGATTGTTATCAGATTGTTGCCTTCGAGCACTCAAAGCAGTGAAGTAAATCACAAGGAAACATTCAATTCAACAGTCACATCTTCCATCCCCGCAGCTGGGCATCAGGCTCCGCCAATATTAAGCGCTTCAAGACGCTGCCCCACTTGAAGGGCACTATATAAATACAAGCTGCTGTTTTTATTCTTTGACGTCATTAGTTGAAAAAACTGACTTTTCTCCTTCTCCAAACTGAAGAATTATTTCCAACTCTCACAATATCATAAGAAAGTTTGTGATTAAGAAGACATTTTGGCCAGTTTAATCTCACCCTTCCAGAATACAACAATAACTTGCATTCATAGTGCACCCTTCATGCTGGGCAGCATCTTGAATAACCACACTACCATCACAGTCAATATACCATTACATCATCAAGCAATTTTATAAATGAGTCCAGCGTCCAGGCATTACTCTCCTGGTATAGTTATTAGCAAAAATAAAAGCACATGGAATCAGAGGTAACCTTGCGACATAGCTTGGTAATTGGTTGGGAGGCAAGAAAGACAGTTGGGATAAAAGAAACGTTCTCTGATTGACAGGACATGACAAGTGATGTTCCCCAGGGGTCTGCATGGGGGCCTCAGCTTTTCATCATATACAGTATATAAATTTTTATATCCAAATTTGCAGATGATACAAAGTTAGGAGGTACAGTAAATTGTGTAGATGGGAGCAAGAAGATACAAAGGTACTTAAGTGAGTGGACAAAACTGTGGCAAATGGAATGCAATGTGGGGAAGTGTGAGGTCATCCACTATGGATCCAAAAATAGCAAAACAAAATATTTTCTAAATGGGGAGAAACTAAGAACTGTGGAACAGCAAAGGGATTTGGGTGTCCATGACATAAATAATTAAAACAAGCTCACAGATACAAAAAGTTATCAAAAAGGCTAACGGGATGGTGGCCTTTATCTCAAGTGGGCTGGAATATAAAGGAGAGGAAATTATACTTCAATTATACTATATAAAGCCTTGGTCAGACCCCATCTGGAGTACTGCATTCAGTTTAGGTACCACACCTGTTACAGAGTCCTTATTATTTGTTCTTAACCTTTTTTTAATATGTATATTTGTGCCTCTATTATTGAGAGCTTCAGTAAGTCTGTGTGCTATTGAAGGCTTGATGTTTGCACTATTGGAAAGTACAGCTACAGCATATGGCTTTAAGAGTGATTTAAAGCCCATAATATTTTTATCTGAAGGAAAATACATTGTTGGCAACATCAAGTCTAGATTTGGCACCAATTTAGCAGGAAAAGAGTACGGGAAGATCCAAGGGGTGGAGCTACAGCGGTACATTGTAAATTTGGCAGGGAAAAAGTATCAGAAGATACTTTCTAAAAAAGGATGGGCCTAATGCCCTTAAAAGCAGCGAGCCCAAAAGCCTCATGGTCGCTATTCACCTTGTTTTGTCATCAAAGAGATCCATGCCTGACATGAGGAGGAGTCCTCTGCATCAAGATTGTCTTTTTGGGTACTGACGTTAGAAATGACTGCCAGTTGTATAGTTTTAGTATTTTAGGGTTTACTATATTGAATGTGGCAACTATTTTGATATTCAACGGGTAGATAAATAAGGCATAGAGTTGTATTTGAAACGCCAATAAAATACCGTTGAGCTTTCTTAATCATGCTTCTCAAGTCTCTGTATAAATCAGGAGGGAGAGGATTCACGTACACAGGGTGAGCCTATGTCACAGTCTCTCAGTGTGAAGGACTCTGACAGAAGCTTCCCTTTGCTATAATTATAAAGCACTGGTAGTACCTGTCGTCAAGTTGACTCTCATTAGTGAAATTACACCTTAGAATAGGAAAGTTGCACTCACAGAGAAGGATCGAACACAGAGGCCACCTAGTTCACTACACGAGAAACACTTTGCAGGTTTAGAGCTGAGAATCGTTGCACATCTTAGGAAGGATATATTGGCTCTGGAGAGGGTGCAATGCAGATTCACCAGAATGATACCAGGGCTAAAAGGGTTACATTATGAGGACAGGTTGCATAAACTTGGGTCTCTAGTCCCTTAAGTTTAGGAGGTTCAGGGGTGATGTTAGGTTATGTTATGTGATTTGAGTTTTTTTTAAAATAATAAAGGGATTAGTTGGAATAGATACAGAAAAACTATTTCCTTTGGTAAGGGAATCCAGAACAATGGGGCATAATCTTACAATTAGATGTAGGCCATTTAGGAGTGAAATTAGGAGGCAATTTTTCACCCAAAGGGTAGTGGAAATCTGGAACTCTCTCCCCAAAAAGACTATGGATGCTGGATCTATTCACATCTTCAAGCCTGAGGTGGATAGCTATTTGTTAGGCCAGGGTATTAAGGAATACGAGGCAAGGGTGGGTAATTGGACTTGAGGTACAGATCAGCCATTATCTTATAGAATGGCGGAACAGACTCAAGGAGCTGAATGGCCTATTCCTGTTGCTATGTAGAGTGCAGAAAGTTTGGACCCCAACAACAACAAATTACTACTATTATTATTACTTTATTTGTATAGTGCCTTTCATGTTGGGAGGACGTCCCAAAGCACTAGACAGTGAAGGATATACACCTGAGCTGGGGATTA